GTGATGACGAGTGCATTTTAAACCTCACAGTAGAAATCTTCAAGAAACTCAAAGCCACAACTGAACAAGAAACTGTCAAGTACATAATTTAGCAAAATGGTTTGATTTCATTCATACCCTGTACTTGAGGTGGACACACAGGAAATGAGTAAATATTACTGTTAATATATAACCCAACCTGACAAGATGAGTTGTAAGTTGCCAAAGCCCCTTTTGAGACTACTGTATGCAGGCTTGTCAAATAACCTTGTAGAAAATGTAAATCAATAGGAACTCTCAACACATGATGTCTATTTCAATCAGGACACCAAACTGAGGGAAAAATCAAAACAAAGAATTTTTTTTTTACAAGTGAGAAATCAGACTTGAAACATCAAATGTGTCTCAAGTCTGTCAACCCTAACCATCCTCAATCCTAAAATCCTCCGGGTGGTTTTGGAGGATTTTGGAGGATTGACACTGCATGACAAAATTGCATTGCTGATAGCGAATGATGCATTGTCTCTAGGTTGTGGGTTAGACCTTGCGTTGTTTATGTTCAGCTATGCTTAAATTCATACCCACATGTGAAATCCTCCATACTGCTCCGGGATACCATTCGCACGGCTGCAGCATAATGAAAGGAGTTCCCGGAGGATTTCGAAGGATTGAGGCAGTGGGCACCCCTCCACAGAACACATCCAAGAAATATCAGAGGATTTTGGAGGACTGAGGCTGTATCTATTTTCTTCACGGAGGCAATTGGAGGGTTTTAAGGATTGAGGCTGTATTACTTTCTCTTATAAATCTCCTTACTGAATCCAAAAGAACTCCAGAAAAGTAACAAATGAAGCCTACTGAAGGCAGCTAAAGTCAAACACTGGAGACAAAAGTCTACTGCCTCCCTGCCAGACTATGGAGCTGTGAAATACATGTAGTTTGTACTACATGTATAAAAGACAGGTTACTATACTTTATCAATAGTTTCTCCAAATTGCATGCACCTCTTGTGGAAGGACTTGACACTTGTGCTTCCTGCATGAAATTCCTAATAACATACCCACATACATGTAGGTACATGTATGAGAATATCCTTAAAGTACTACTGTTTCTTGAATAAAGTACTCAATCAAATCACCAGAAACTGTTTTCATGAGGCATCAAACTTGCATACACAGTGCATGCACAATACACAGTACTGTATGTCACTGCATAAGAAGGTACACCGCACTGATTCCATTCGTGACTGGGACTACAGCTGCGAATGAAGACAGAAAATACATGTTGAATTCCTGGGCACGAAACAATTCATCCTGATTTATAGTTGTACACCACTTTAGAAAGCTCACCAACTATTGTTAAACACATCAAGCGCCCAAACCCCTGTAGACACAACAAAGAGCGTAGCTTGATGGCTACAGTCTGAGTACAATTGTTTTGTTTTTCTCAACATGGTTAACAACTAGCCAAAAAAAAGCCACTTTAGCATTCAGGTATAGATCTGCACAATTTTACCCTTTTAAGATTTGGAATGCTTTAAACACAATGCTGGCGGAAGTGATTACACCACAAAATGCTCTCTTCAGTGTTCCATCAGTTCATCCAATAAGCGATTTACAAATATAAAAAAAATCAAACAAACAGAGTAAGTACTTACACAGTGCTTAAATCCAAGCATTTTCAGTTTTTCTATATAATGTGCTCCAATGGTAAAACAGGCAAAATCAAGCATGTAGTCCTACAATGCTTCGGCCGAATACATGTACCTCAGCGCTACTCTAGACTTCTCCCACATAAATATTTCCTCAACACCAATCATTTGCAACTTAACCATCTATTTAAGTCCAGATCCAGTGGCATCCCATAATTCTGGTTTTAAATTATCTTCTGTCGAAAGAAAAAAAATAACACTGATAAAATGGGCATTCCTCTGACGCTTAGAGGCATGCATTTAAACTATTTCCCCCCTGACGTCATGCTGCTCCGTATTTTTAAAAACAACCCGTAAATCAGAAATAATCATATTTTGCAATTTACCAATTATTTCCTTAGCCGGTCGTATATTACTCGGACTGGGCTCACGCAACGAGGCCACATGTCTTCACAGACAATGACTGGGAATTTTTTCGAAATGTCACGAGAGGCACAAATTACTGTGTGCGTGGGGGACTTGTGAATCAAATACCAGTACAAAATCTCACGTTGATTCGCGTGGGACTACAGGGGTTATGAGATGATGTATCGGGGTAACTCACGACTCCTCTGGGTGACGATAAAGTTCAAAGACTCAGCAAGAATGTTGGCCCACTGTGAAAGATGCAAGCTTTCACATTGAGCACAACTTTTTCCTTGTGGTGTAAAGCCTATAAATACCTCAAGAGTTGATGGATATTTTCATTTGTAATGTCTCCATTACTCAATTCAAGGTGTGCACATCCAGTACCAATACCTTAAATTTGGATCTCAGATTTTACAAGCTTAAATGTAGAATCAAGTTGGCAGTTGTCTTATCGCCTAAAAATCTGTCACAAGTACAGTATCTGGCTCACACTTTATCATCAACTGCAACACTCACTCCAAAGTACTTCACTTGTACATTAGTACTTGTACATGTATGTGTGATCAAGTACTGTAGGATGATAATACCTTGAATGGCATTAGTACCCGTACTTAATACCTTGAATGGCATTAGTAGCGTACTAAATACCTTGAATGGCATTAGTAGCATACTTAATACCTTGAATGGCATTAGTAGCGTACTTTCACAGTAAACCTTCCTGGCACGTTCCTGATCACTATGGGTTACAGCTTATCATGGATGGGCAATCTCGGGGTATCACACTTCCCACTTTACAAGTAATGGTCCTATAAAGAGTACGCTGTTTGTACACGTAGAACGTGTACAAAGGCTTGGCAAATGACTTACTTACATGTACTTCTGAGGACTTAATTCTAGGCTTTCATCCCCATGACAGCAACTTAGGCTTTTAACAGTCAACAGTTACAGGAAACTTACCGTACACGTACAATTACCAATTTAATTACATGTATTACTCTTGCCCTTGCAGCCTCTGAATACCGTACATGTGCTTGTATGTATGGGAACTACGTATTTGTGCAGTTTGATTTCATTACATGTCAGTAGAGTTGTGTTCCTATTCTGTTCTGTGTGAATTATATTAGTTATCATATGAGTGCAAGTGGAACACAGAATAATGTATTACGTCTGAGTCCCATATATCACAAGGCCGACTGAGACGCACGAGACATTATTCTGTGTTCAATGAGTGCAAGTGTGATAATGAATTTATCTTCAAGCAAACTTGACCTGCTGTAAAGAGGTTACGGGATTATGCGCGTAATTTCCAGTAAATTTTGAAGTTGTGTGTTTTGCTTTTAGCGTAAAAACATGAAAAATAACGCACTGTGTGGAGTAAGAACAACGCATTACACAGGGCTTGACATGGATCGTGCGACACACTATTTGTTGCCATGGTCAACCAATCAGATTAGAGAATGCCAGTTTGCTTGACGATAACATCTTGTGTTAAAGCTTGTCCTCTGGTAATCCTGTGTGTTCTCTACATGATTTCTGCACACTAGTCTCATAAACTGTTTGCTTGCTAGTAAATGTCAGAAGTTTTTGACAGACACTGTCAACAAGTGGGTTTCGAACAACATGTTGTCCCATCCTATCATAACTGTATGTATGAATGATCCTCAGCACTGGCCACAATTTTTTCTAACATCTTGACAAAGTAAGACTTATTCTGAACCTCTCTGATTCCAATGACCAATGAATGCCCCACTACATGTACCTGTGAATCAGATTAGCAACGTTACTTGTTACTTTCAGACAATACAATCAAGCTCACTCTACCTGTGTATGAGGGACTGATACTTCTTTTTCTGCCTATTACATGTATGATGCAAGCTTGAGCCTGAGGAAGAACTTAAATCTAGTTTACAGTTTCTGCAATTAACTGTTAACAGTGACTGTAGTACTATTACAATTGTGCCCTGGTAATCTATAATGCCATTCCTCAATGGCCCACATGGGCAACATACATGTACAGTATACTCTACAGATACTCTATAGTATTTTGTGGCTTTGGACTTAACTACTCAGGTAAAAGTAAAGTATGTGTACTAGTACATGTACATGTATATGTACCGGTAGGACAATGTTGTCCAAAGCCAAGGCAGCCATTTAAAATATTTGTCATAGTGAGGAATATTTCCAAGAAATGAATTCCTACAACCAGTCTCTGCACATGGATGGGACAGTCTATTCTCAGAATATGCGGGTGCGGGCATTGTGATAAGCTGTGCCTCTCAGATGAATTGTCACCCTGTGCCAACAGAGGGCAGTGTTGACATTCCATTGGGCTGTCCAACATGTAGCTCTTAAAGCCTTCAAGGGGGGTTATAGGAGCTACATGTCGGCAAGTCTTTTGTGTCAGTGCCACCTTAATCCTAACCTTCCAGATCCTTCATGTACAAACTAAGTATTTGGGAGGATTTGGCAGGATTGAAGTTCGGAAAGGAAAACACAATCACTGTTATATTTTTCATGGGGCTTGATATACCTCAAAAGTTAACCCTGTACCTTTAAAATGTCATTCAGGAAAGTTCTGGAGTCTTCAGGAAGCTTTTTAACCAGCAATTACGCTGGAGTTAAGTTTAATAATACTAAGAAAGAAAAGTGCTAAAAGACACAATCACAGAGCAGCATTAAAACACAGGCATACTGGCCAAAAACAACTGCGAACAGAACGGTGCAGGACTAGCCAACAGATGATAAACAGTATAACAAAACAATGTCATCAGTAGTTTGTCTGGGCTGCATATACATGTACATGTACATTACCTACAACTGTGGTGTAGTGTGGTATCAATGTATCCATGCTTACAAAATGTCAGGCCTCCCTTTCCTCCTAGCACAATATATGTATGTGTAGATGTAGTTGATAGACAAAACTGACCAACTACTTTGAATTCAATGTTTGTTCTGTTCACAGATCCTGAGGGTAACAGATATGAGCTGAATTGAGACATCAATGCCAACCAGTTTCCTGAGGCCAGGCATACATGTACATATACATATATACATGTACATGCATGCACTGGTGCATGTGCACTGTACATGTACAAGTTCATACCAGTACATGCAGTTGTGTATAAAGTAGACCTATCCCCTTTTTCAGGATATCCTGTTGCTGCTGAGGAAAGGATGGATTTCTTTCTTCCTGTTCTACAATACAATGTCAAAAAGATGTACACTACAACTGAAACTTATCAAGCACAAGGCCATCTGCATGCTTAATACATGTGTGGTCAGTAGCTTTCTGGATAGACCCTGGGATGTTGGGTATTGTACCAGATGGCAGTGTTTCATCTACGGTCACACTGAAGCCACTGACTGGTCCTGTTTTAGGACAAGCCAAATCATTTTGGACAGGCAACTTTTTGCTTCAAACAAGTTACACCCTCCCCGTCCAATAAGCCAAAAAACTCTGGACAGGCAGTTTTTGCTATCAACAAAAAGTCACACTCCCCCTGTCCAAAAACACTAAGCACTGATGAGAATTTTACTGTGAGCTCCTTGCAACAGTTGGGCTGATTTAATTCTAAAAATGCGACATGCCGGTAAAATGAAAACATGGACACAGACACATGTACTGGTACAACTGGCGTATCTGTTGTGAAAATTTGGCTGCGGGTGGTAAGTCAGCTTATAAATAAATTAACTTCCCGTGATAGTAGGCAGGCAGGTTTCAAATCCAAAGGAATCCCTGTTCTACGCCCCTGCCTTCCATTTTCCCTCCTTACCCCTTCTTCAATTCTTCGTCTGAAATTAAACAACAAGCTACTCTGACCAAAATTTTCACTGACTGGAAGTTATTAACTTCTACATGTAAAGATTCCACCTGTGTACATGTACATGTATTTAACATGTTTCATCACAGCCCTAACATTTTGTTGACAGAGCAATCATCAATGTCACACAAAGGAACACAATATTGTTAAAATATGTAGGCACATGCATGCACACTATTTGGTCATTACAATGAATATTGGATTTTTTCCTTGAAGGGTGTAGAATAAAGGGAAGATGGGCAGCGACTTTCCTAAGTAAAACAGTGATACAGGTATGTTCTTCAGGATCCACGGGAGCCTATGCAAAGAAAATAAAAGACACCAAGATGGCCACCTCACTTGTCCTCTCTAGCAACTATGAGAGATGCATTCTTTATCAACATACACGTGGGTGCCGTGTACAGCATCTTTGTGGGGAAAAAAGAGGGGTATGACTCATGAGTGAAACCTACAGCACTGTTTCCCTACACGAGGTGACTGTATTGTCGTCAAGTCCTCGGCCTGATGTTTGCACGTGCTCTCCTCCTCCCCCGGCCAAGAAGCCGGCTGAAACCGTATCCATTCCTTGGAACATTTGCCCTATGAGGTCATACATTTAAAATCCGGCAGCCGGCTCTAGCAAAGACAGCATTCAATGATTCTGATCGCACATGCCGGTACCTGCGTTACATGTATGTTACATTCAAACAAGACTTTTGGGAAGTTGGCAAGAATCTGGCCGATGCCGTGTTAACAATTTCACACATTTTTAACTGGATGAACGATAGTGATTAAAGAAAATTTTGCTCAGTTTTTTTTCTGCAGCATGCACTTAACTTTACACTGTGGGGTATCGTGACAATTTCATAAACGTAAGGAATTACAATTAATATGTATGCATCCTTGCAGGAATTCTGATCAAATAAAAGACCGAGTTTCTGCCAACATTCAAGAATATGAATGCAAGAGGCCCTGGCATAATTTACAGTATGTCAAAAGGCCACTCACATTATTCCACAGGGACAGAAGAATAAATCTGTTAAATGAACAACCAGCAGGCTGGGGCCATGCCCACAACATCACCCTTATCTCTCATGATTAATGATAATACACTAGATGTGATGACGGGCAGTCCGTTGATTTGAGTGTCAAACCAGGGTTCTGACTTCAGTTTTGTTTGTATGAGGTCAGAAGTCCGATGGAGCTTATAAAGCAGATGGTTTTCAGCTCTTTTTAGAGTTCTATTTTCATACCAATGAGAAGGCGGCTTTTGATGACTGTTTAGATTTTCTGGTCCTTTTGAAATGACAGACTTGGGGTAGGATTTGCTGGCCAAAGAAATACGAGTTACATGTACCATGGTACATGCAAAATTTGCTTTTCGCAAGCCTATAAATTGGATGATTAAATATTGAATATTTAATATATTAAATATTCAATATTTAAATATTCAATACTGACTCCCAAAGGCATTTAAGAAATCCCCAGTGTTTTCCCTCGAATGTCAAACTGCATAAGGGGCTGGTCCAGGAAATGTTTCTTTGCAACCCAGAAGTTCAAAAGGTTACTCTGTAATTTCCTTTGAAAAGTTTGTTGGGTGTCTCGTCTTCCTACAACGTGATGTTACAGGTGCACGTAGACACCCGGTGGGTCCATGCCTACATGGTATATGCCAACTGTCACTACAAAATGACCGAAGTATTGTCATTTTTCAAAAGAGTGTGGCAAAGCTAATTTAAAGAGGGGGGTCTGTTTTGTTTTCAGGTGCAGTACACTCTCTAAGTTCCATTCCACTTGTTAACACATTGTCTTTTTAAAACCAATTTTCATCCCGTTCAACTACCGGGACTTTCAAAACTACAGTTCATAGTTGATGTTTCCGTAATAACCAAACCTAGCAGCTGTTTGAAAGCTATTTTTCTGCATAATACAGAAATGAAAATACAAAGTCCAACTTAATCCTAATTTTGTATTATGTCCACTTACATACACAACAAGATCTTGACATTCTTATGAAATTCAGGTTATCGAAATCTCCTGGTTGCAGACACATGTACATGCATATCCCCTTATGCAAGTTTTCTTGGACATACACTAAATGTACTAGTATTTGCATGTCAAAATAATTCATTTCGACATGTACATGTACCTGTTCACATGTGTGACTAAAGGTTTAACTGACAAGGATGTAGTATACAAAATGATATGACAAGTGCACACAGACCTATATCACCGAAACACCGGATGACAACCAAGTCTGTCAAACCAAACACTGTGGTACAGTATGAAACTTGTGACTGTTGACATTCGACATTCAGGGCATGAGACTCAGTCCTCCATGGCCGGGTTTAGACTTGGTCTGGCAAAAGTGTTTCCTTGGTGTCAGTGAACAGAAACTGTGGCATCTTGGATTTTTAATTAGCTTTCAAACACCAATTAATCATCTTTCGAATACCGGTAAGACAGTCTGTCAGAAAGCCTGTTTTGTAGCCTGGCAAATGTAGAGATTTGACAGTTGTCCTTGTTTGTGGAAACTGATGTTTCTGCAGACTTGATTACACCAGGAAATTAAACTTTCTGTTCGACCTTAATCTGGCATTTTAATCTTGCCTAGATGGGTCACATCAAACTTAAATTTGTGCAATTCGAGCTGCATGCTGAGAAAGGAGTTTTAAAATACTATTTTCTACCTTATTAATTTCTAAATTTCAAAGTTTTAATCCAAAATAATGGCATTCATAATTTAAAAAAAGAAAGATCACCAAACAAGTACTGCTTAAATTATTGTGTCATTTTTCAGTGGCTGAAAGCCAGTTTCAACCTTTAATTTGGTAAAAAGTCTGCAGTAAGAAAAACCAAACACCGATGAAAAACAATCGTTTGCAATGTTTTCAAAGCATGTAGTAATTTCCAACTGAATCGCTTTAACCCTAGCCCTACATAATATTACAAACTACTACTTGTAGTAAAATGTTGTAATCAGCCCTGTTGTTTATAAGAGGACATGACCTCATTGTTCTCTGAAGCCATAAAATACAATAGAAAAGACAATGTACCATACAGTGCTGTGGCACTATGAATGCATGACTTCACTGTTCTCTGTACAACTCCTACCAACAATGGAAGTAACCTAGCCAGAAGCAGTAAATTGTAGCGCTAGGTCCTTCGGGCTCAGGGTATTACTTAGTACATGTATTTTGTACCGGTATTGGTATTGAGGACTATTAACAATATGCTAATACGGTTAATGGAGGTTTCCTAGCTCAATTTTTTTTCTGTCCCTGATTGAAGATGTCATTCCAACCTCAAACAGTAAGGACTGTTTTGTAAAACAAACGCAAATCAGCAAGTAGACAAAAATAGGCAACTGTAAAAATGGTGACTTTTAGATGTCCAAATAATGAAACCAGAATCAAACATCCGACAGAGATCTTTCAGGCCTGCATGCCTCGTGCCTGTTATTTACACCAAGAGAAAATTTTATGTAAACATAAGGTCAAAATATCATGTGATTTGAAAAGTGCAATTCTGGTACTGGATCATTTACTGCTACCTCTTCAGCATGTGAGGGCTACATACATGTACATGAATGATGCGCAATTCAGGATGAAAAAAAAACCGATGCAACATGTAATAAGAGGAATTCATTTTCAGATTTGATAGTTGACACTACCATTTTTTTCTATGTCTTTCGAATATATTTCAAAGAAACAGTATGTAATTCTTGGTATGAAAGTGGTTTTAGTGACTACAACTTAACTTTGGGGCTTTTTTTAAGTGTTCTGCTTTCTTGACATGGCCATCATGACAAATTTAAAGGCCCATGAAATGTACTTTTGTTATACCCTTGCACTGCACCTCTTAAGCCTAAAAGTTTTCGATTGGCCATTGTTAAGGGTACCCTGTAGCTTAAAAGCTTTTCTGCTCATGTTGGTACAAATTTACAGTTATGAACAAAAGAGTCACCATTCAAGAAAAATAACTACAACTAGATAACACCTAGTGGTAAATTTAGACATTTTGCTGTCTTGAGTAATTTTTAAACACTTTTGGTAAGAAAATTCTGGGCTTCCAGTTGAAATGAAAAATCCCATATATACAGTTTAGGGAACAATGTCTTTCTTCAGTGACATCATAACAAAAGTGCCCTCATCTGTGGAAAAGACTGGAAAATTACGCATGCTTTAAAAGGTGCACTTTTCAAAAATGCTGATAAAAAAAAAACACATCACAT